TACCCAGGGACACCAAAACGTGCTGCCTGAGCACTTTCTGCTTTCCTCAACTCTAGGTATCTGCACCATAATCGCTGCAAAAGCAATATGATAGCAACATGGGAAAATTGATAATTCAAAGTAGTTACCAATTAGCCCACGCTCTACGACCAGTTGAGCCACACTCAGCCAGTTCATCCTCGGAGCTTTCACCTGCTTTTCCACTCCGCTGTGCTAGATACTGGCCACCTTCTAAGTTTAACTTTTAAAGGTAACGCTACCATCAACGTGGCTGTTATTTTTACATAGTGTGAAGGTTCTCTCTAGAAATCTTGGACTCAGATGTCCAGCGTTAGGGACTGAATTGAGTCCCTTTGGCCCAGATTCGCATGTTGAAGTGTTACCACCCAGTGTGACTGTACCTGGAGATAGAAATGTTAAAAAGGTAATTAAGTGAGGTCATAAGTGTGAGGTATCCTTATAAGATAAAGAGACACCAGAGGTCTCTCTCATCCTCTGTAGTCACAGAAGAAAAGCCACATGAAGATACGGAAATGCCCAGGGATGTGGCTCAGTGGTAGAGTCCTTGCCTGACAAGGCCTTGGATTTGATCCCAGACCTGCAAAATAGAGGGTGGGGTGCAAGGAATTATCTACAAGCCAAGGGTAGAGGCCTTTGCAGAAACCAAATAGGCTGACACCTTGACCTTAAATTTCCAGCCTTCAGAACTACAAGGAGATGCATTTCTGTTGTTTAAGCCGCCCAGTCTGGCATTTTGTTAGGGCAGCCTGTCGGCTGACTCGCATGGCACTTGGGTGGAAATGCAAGAAGGAGTAAACAGCCCTTGGCATCCAGCAGCTGGCCTGGCACTCAGAGCTGGCCCGTGGTGTTCTTCTGCTCAATATGAACGATTCTTCCTCAGATGAGGGGAGGCTAAGCCAAATCAATCAGGACAAGTCCAAGGCCACGTCACCATTGTCTAAACCACAAAAATGACCCAAAGTCTCCCCTCTCTGGATAACAGGGGTGACTACTGCTTTTTGGCCAGTTTTGTAGTCAGCCTTGCCTTGGTCTTTCCCGTGTCGGATTTATTCATATAATTGCTCTCACTTCCTGAGAGCGTCCAACCCAGAGCAAGGCTCACTTCCTTAAACCCTCCCCCAAAACACCTAGTACTGCCCCAAACTCTGTCCTAAATCATTTCTGAGATCTTCTTACTGCATAGCCACACAGTTCCCAGGAATGTCAAACCCGGCTTGGTGAATTCTGTGTTCCCAGTGGGCATTGCAGGTGAGCACTAGCAAAGGTGTTTGGATTTTTAATAGTTTTTAATAAGTATTTAGCAATGTTCATTAAAGAAGCTGATAAACTTTTCAAATTTTAACACAACTTGGCCAGAAATTCAAGGGTTAAATCTTCTTCAATTAATTTGATGGTGTAAAATGTACATAGTTTAAATGCATATATTTTATTAGTTTGTAGACTGGACTATTACCCAGGTATTTTTCTACTATATTGTTCCTCATCTATCATCATGTTGATATTCAATTATGGAAAAGTATATATTTTTTTCTCCTACTGAAGGAATTCCAGGGTTTGCCTTCAAGGCAAGAGAAGTATTTGAAGATTGTGATAGTATCAGAGTGTTTTTCATTACTATTTTTGAAAGTAAATTTACGGACTGGTTTTTGGAGCCCTTATAAAAGAAACAGTATTACACAAACATACATCCACATTCACAGCAAAATAAGGATGAAATACTGACGTCTATCACAATCCTCATTTCTGTAACTGGTTGTGTGGTGGTAAATGGTGTTTCTAACCCCCTTCTCCTCCTACCACCCATTCTGTGTCCCCTTTGCCTTCAGTAAGAGCCTCAGCTGGCCTTGGTTCTCTACCCTGATGGAATCTCCCACACCTTTATTTCTGGGGGCTCTGAACCCCTGGTGCTCCTGCTTAGCTTGGGTTGGTATAGTTTGCCATTGACCTTAATCACAGGGCATGGTAGTATGAAGAGGTACCCTGAGGAATCTCTTGTACTCCAGATATACTCTGTACCTCTGTATGGAAGAGTAGTCCAGTTACCCCCTTGGTGGTTAGGATCGGTCACCCTAGCTAGGACAGTAAGTCCTTTGCCTGCTGAGTCAGAGCCATGGGGACTCCAGGGTGGCAGTGGTAAATTCCACTTCAGTGGAACCATTGTGGCGCCTCCTGGTAGAAACATTCCTCCCTGTGGAACTAAGCTCTCTGAGCCTGCACAGCAAACTCATGGGGACAAGAAGCCAAGTTTATCTAGTGGGTCACTGGGGATAATATTCCACCCCTGGATTCCTGGACCTGTGAATCCTGACCATGAAAGAAATAACACATACTGGATCTGATTCAGAACATGTTCCATCTTCTCCAGTCCCACGAGGGGTTGCCACCCTGCTGGTGCGGTAACTAGGTTTCCCGAGGGCATTCACCATTCTATCAATGCTTGATCTTGGTCAAAAGGCCAAGGAGCAATCCCCATTCAATCAAACCAGCTACTTTAGGATGGTGGGGAACATAGTAACACCAGTGACTTCCATGAGCAGGTGCCCATTACTACACTTCATCTACTGTGGAGTTCCTTGATCAGAAGCAACATTATACACAATACCATGCTGACAATAAGGCATTCTGTAAGTCCACGGATGGTAGTTTGGGCAGATGCATTCGGTGAAGGGGAAGTAAATTCATATTCAGAGTAAGTGTCTATTCCAACAGAACACCTCCATGGTGGGAGTGGTTCAGGGTAATCCACTTTCCACCTGCAGCTGGCTGATAACCCCAGAGAATGTTGCCATATCAGGACCTAAGTGTAGTTCTCTGCTGCTGGAAGATTGGGCACTCCTTACTGGCTGTATCCAGATCGCCATGGTGAATGGAAGTTCGTATTGCTGAACCCAGACCTAATCTCCATCCCTGCCACCAGGACCATTTTGTTCACGAGCCCATTGGGCAATGACACATATGGATGAAGAAAGAGGTGGCATCCAGAGAATGGGTCATCCTGTCTACTTGACTAATAAAATCTTCCTTTGCTGAGGTCACCCTCTGGTGAGCTTTCACATGGGCACAAATATTTGACCCTTTTTTAGATAGAGAGGTCTACCCATGTGTCTCTTCTCCAAGTTTTCTTGTTGCTAGTTTTGTGGCCATGGTCCCTCCGAGTCCTTCACCATCTGGCCAAACCGTCGACCACAGCCCACGAGTCAGCATATAATCACAGGACTGGCCATCTCTCTCCAGGCACACTGAACCAACAGGTGCACTGTGTAAAGTTCTGTCACTGGCAGGAATTCTCTTCTCCACTGTCTTTCGGGGAGGTCCCAGAAAGGGACTGTAGCACTGCAGCTGTGACTTCTCATTGGTGCTTGCCTATCATGAGAGTCATGCCTAAGCCAGGCCCAAGTCTTCTCTTCCTCCATCAGCTGATCATAAGGAACTCCCCTGGAGTCACGTGTACAGGTTTGGAAAGAAAAGGCAGTGTGTAGGGATAATGACCATGAGCCTGAGCAGTCTGGCCACTTCTTCATGCCACGTATTCATGCCCTCAGGTCTTTCTAAGTCCCACCGTATATCCCATTTCCACTTGATGATGGAGGCTGCTCTACCTACCCAGCTTTAGGGCTTCGTGAGTCAGAACACTCAGCTCACGAGGAATAGCTCAGGTTGCCATCGACAGCAAATTGGTGGCCCTTGGTTAAATATTCAGTTTTCACTAAGGTCCAGTAGCAGGCCAAGAGCTATTTCTCAAAAGGAGAGTAATTAGCTAAAAATAATAGGAGGGCTATTCTCCAAAACCCCAAAGGCCTCCTCTGAAACTCACCAGTTAGAAGCCTACAAAAGGCACAAAACCGTCTCCCCATCTGCCCCTGTCACCTCAAGTACCACTGAATCTGCTGAATCAGATTGCTCCAGTGACAGCAAAGCTTGAGTAGCAGCTAGCACTTGCAGAGACTTCTCTTGACCCACACAAAAGTAGAAGCTTTTTGAACACCTCAGTGAATGAACTGGAGTAACACACCCAAATGAGAAATATGTGGCTTCCAAAATCCAGAGACGTCCACAAGGTATTGTTCCTCTTTCATGGTTGTGGAAAGGGGCAGATGCAACAGTCGCTGATCTTTCACCTTGGAAAGGTTGCAGCATCATGCCCCAGAGCACTGAATCCCTAGAAACTTCACTGAGGGACTGGTAAAAATTCACTGGATTCTTTTTTTTATCAGTGATTTATTTCCCACGTACCATGCAAATATCTTATCAATAAGCCTAAAGTTGTTATTATTTCTCTCTCACTGGGGCCAATCAGAATAATGTTGTCAATGTGATGGACTAAATTGCTATCTTTAGGAGGGAAGGACCATTGAGATCCCTGTAAACTAACTTATGATGCAGTGATGAAGAACTGGTATTCCCCCAAGGTAAGATGGTGAGTGCTATTGCTGGATTTGAAAGCAGAAAGCAAACCACTTCTGGTTCTTTATTGACCAGTATGGAGACATCAGTAGTTATATATCAGGTGCCTGAAGATACGTTCGTTTGCTCAAGCCATGAAAGCACACCTGATGTATTGGCTGCAGTTTAAATCATCACCTGCTTAAGCTGCTGCTCATCCACGGTCATTCTCCAAGATGGAGTTTTCTTCTGCAGAGGCCAAGTAGGCAAGCTGGATGGGGCTGATGAGGGAGAAATCACACTCCTGAGTTTTTTTTTAGCGGTTGGTGGCATTAATCACCGTCCTTTCAGAGATACAGTACTGCTTTTAGTTTAATATTTTCCCAGGTAGGGGAAGTTCGAATGGCTTTCTTTCCTGCCAGATTAGCCCTCACTCCACAGATTAGGGAATCAATGTGGAGATTCTACCAGCTGCTGAATATTCTAATTATGCATCCCGGAACCACAGGATGGGCTCAGAGCCCCACTGAGCCAACGTGAGACAGACCTGGACTAAAACACATTGCTCACCTAACCTCTAACCTCTAGAAGCCCCATTTCCTGAGAGGACGGCAGGGACTCAAGTCAAGTCAGAGATCTAGAAACAAAGGGAAGTGGAAGGATGGGTCTGGGGAGATCCATCATGGTCTGGCATTGTACCCGCCTCGGAGGAAGCACTACCATTTCCTCAGGCAATGCAGGGTCAGTCCTGTCAGAAGGAGGTCGGGGGTGTAGCAGCTGCTAATCCCACTTTCCCAGCGGGTGGGGTGGGTTCTCCCACCAGCTAAGAAGACATCAGCATTCAGGAGCTCCGTGTTGCCAGGTTTATCAAGGTCTCCCCACACATCCTTAACTTTACCAACTGATACTCTGGCTTTTACAGCAAACACTGCCATGGTGCGAGTTCAACTGGCGTGGTGATTCAGCCAGCTTCCGGATGAGATTCTGTGTTTGATTTCCGGAAACCTCAGTCCTGGAGATTAAGTGTCACCTGGGGAGACACACAGAAGCTTTCAGGGAAACTTCCTGGGAATTTGAACCCTGGTGCTGTTTTCCTTCTCTCCTTGGTCCTGTGACATTTGAGTCAATTAGCCAATCCCATTATCTTCATCAGTTTGCAAAAAAAAAAAGAAAGAAAAAGAAAAAGAAAGAAATGCTCAAAAGTATCATTTTCACAGTTACATAGTTTCCTTTAAGTGGTTTATTATGCGTATATGATATTTTACACATCACTATTGCCCAATCACACTGTGGAATATCAGTGCTCTCTTCTCTACAGAAAATAAAGCCATTAAGCTTATTTAAATCTAATCAGATTAGGGAGCCAACTTCAGAATCCCCCAAACCAATTCAGAAGACTCATCCTTAACATTCTCTGCCTAGAGGACCGTTCCCTAGCAGTGAAGGTGAACGTACCTAATGCTGCTGCATAGAGCACTTAAAGATGGTTAAACTGTTTTTTTTATTTTATGTGTATTTTATCACAGTAGAAAAGAATAAGAAAAAAATACAGTTACGAAAGAAAGGAAGAAAGAAACAGAGAAAGATATAAACCCAGGCCTGACTTAATTCAGGCAAATTGCAGACATCCCCTCAGAGTTTAAATCAATAGAGAGTACTGATCAACCTGATGGCTGAATAAAGGTAAAACTTCAGAGTTTTAAGAAATACAGTAAGAGTCTATCTAAGGCTTTCTATTTTTGATTTTACATTAACCTTTCTTCCCCTTTCCATCTCTTTTCAATAGTTAGGTTTCTTGTAGGACTTAGTCCAAACGTCTTTTCAAAATTTTAGACCTATGATTCTATGCTAATTTGTCCATTTAACTTAAGATTTGTACTGACATTTTCCTCCTTGGTAAAATTAAAATGAGGATTTAAGACGAACCTACTTTTCCAGGTGGAGTTGTAGAGAATAACACACTTGATTCTCAGAGCCTGCTCAAAGTTCTAAGCCACACCAAAGAACCAGTTAGCTCACATTCCTGTAGGGTTGGGATTCAGGCTTAGAGCTCCCTGTGCTCCCAGCCCTGTTGTCTTGGCCCACCTTCCCAGAAATCACAGAGGCAACCTTGTGTAGCAGTTGAGGTCCCACAACCTGCCTGCTTACTCCCCTGAAGCTACTTTGCATTTGTTCTTTTTAAATCTGCTGCCTTGTATAAGGCCTGTAAGGGGCGAGTGCCCGTTGAGACCTTCTGGCTTTGCCTCCTGATGTCCAGGAATCTGCAAAGTGAGTTTGCAGAGAGGGCTCAGCTTTTCCAGCTGAGATATACTTTTGAACTTGGGGGACAACAGTTCCCAAATGCTTGGGAGTTGCCGTGCGATTCTTCCCATCCTGAAAATCTATTAGAAAAAGGAAGAGATGCTTCACTTCTCTCCACCCGCCCCCCAGGCGCTGCAGATGGCAATTAACACCCTACACAGCCCCTCCCCATAACATCATCAATTTTTTTTTTTTTGCCTGCATAGCATCTACTTCACAACTTGAGACATGCCAAATCACACACATTCTAAGTACTTGTTGCTAGCAGCAGATTCATCTTCCTTAGTGGCCAAGCGCAGGCTATATTTGGAATGGCAGAGCACCTAACCCTTCCCTGGCCCGCTTGTACGAACTGCGACACCCCCCAAAACTCACCCGCGTTTCCTTGTCAAAGTCAGGACTCTTCAGATCAATTCTGCAAATCAAAGTGAAAGAAAAGCAGAGAAACACCACCTTCTTCTCCATGAACTCCTTTCTCCTCTGCAAAAAAAATGAATACTAGCAATTCCAGACTGGTGGGACCCTTGCAAATATTTAAGGTGATCAATAAAATATTAAAAATTATCCATTTGATAGGTTATCACAGATGGGCCCACGGTGGTGCTGAGTAACTGCCGGGTATCTCTACTCTTTTTGTCTCTCTCTCTGTTTTTGTTGAGGTTAAATTCACATCACACGAACTAAAACACTTTTAGTTTGTGAATTTAACTTTGTGAGTTTAACCTCAATAAACAATTCAGTACTTTCATAATGCTGTGTAATCACATCTCCATTTCCAAAATAGTTTCATTTCCTCCAAAGGAGGCCCTGTTCCCATTAAGTAGTCTCGCCCCATTCCCTGCTCCCACGGGCCCTTATAAACAATGATCTACTTTCTTTCTGTACGGATTTACCTATTCTGGATGTTGCATACAAATAGAATTACGTCATATGTGTGACCTTTGTGGCTGGCTTTTTTCACCTAGTATAAGGGTTCCCAAGGGTCATCCAAGTTTTGATATGAATCAGTAATTCGTTTCTGTTATGGCCAAACAATATTCTGTTGTATGGATATACCATAACTTGTTAGTCTATTCCCCGTTGATGGACATGTGGGTTCTTTCCACCTTTTGACTTTTGTGAATAGTGCTATTATGAGCATGTGTGTGCATTTGGCTGAGGACCTGTTTTCCATTCTTTTGATTATATATATACTCGGGAATAGAATCGCACTCACCCTTCCTTTGTTTTCTCCTCCTTCTTCTCTTAATGATCTCATGTCTACAGGATCCATGGTGATATCTGGTTTTTACATTCTTTACATTGCTTTTTGATACCTCATCTCTAACTGACTAGTCTTAAGAGCCATTTTTTAAAAATTTTCTTAATATTTCATGAACCAGCCTATGGTTTTGTGGAAATTGTCTGTTTGTACATTTGAATTTGCTTTAATTACTACCTTCCCTTTGGATTTGTTTTGCCAGTCTTTGTGTAACTTCTGGAGAGGGCTGCTTAATGCACCCCATCCACGTGACCCATAATAATCCCAAGTGCATCAACCAGACTTCCCAGGTCCTGCACCTGCATCTTTGCAGAGGGCTGCCCAAACTTATTTAGTCCATATGCACAGGGGATAGAAGTGCCCCGGAACTAAGAGCCTTAGTGTAAATCCCTAACGGAAGGACTAAAGGACCCTGTCTTCTTGCCCTCTGGATAAGACAATTCGTCTTACATAGTTTTGTAGAGTTTTACTAGTAATCAACGGTAACTGAGCTACAGCCACCTGCCCTGACAGCTGCCTGTATATCGCACCCCTTCCTGGGTGTCTTCCCCTCCCTGTCTCACTTCTATCTACCTGTTTCTGCTGATCTTTTTGTCTCCCTGTTATGCACAGAATTGTGACCACCCCAAATTCCATCTATGAATGCTCAGAAAAAGTGTATATTGAAGTCCTGGCCCTAGTACATCAGAATTTGGAGACAGTACAACAGTATTTGGAGACAGGGTTTTTAAAGAGGTGGTCAAGTTAAAATAAGGACATGGGGGCATGCCCTAATACAATCTGATTGCTGTCCTTTTAAGAAGGGATGAAGACACACACACATCTAAGATCATGTAAGGACACAGGGCGCAGAGGCTACCTGCAAGCCAGGGAGGGAGGATCTAGGAGAAAGCAGCTCTGCCAACACTTTGATCTCAGATTCCAGCCTCCAGAACTGTGAGAACGTAATTTCTTTTGTTTATTCCACCCAGTCTGTGGGACTTGGTTACTGCAGTCGGAGCTAATTAACTCACTCCCAATAAAAGGCTTGCCCTTGAATCTCTGGTTCAAGGTCTGCTTCTGGGGATTCCAAATTCAGACTCAAAGTGCATTGATTTTTCAGCTTCTCTTCTTTCCTAATAGATGCTATTGAGGCAATAAGTTCCCTTCTAAGCATGGGTAACGCTCAGATGCGTAGTATTTGGTAGTATAATGATAAGTATTTGTAGCACAATGGTAAGCTTTGATATGCAGTTTTATGATTCAGTTTGAAGTGGTTTCTGTTTTCCGTTGTCATTTCTTCTGTGACCCGTGGGTTATAATGGAAGGTCTCACAGCTGCCTTGTATGTGCCCCAGCTATGATGGTCACCGCTCAGTGGCCCAAACTAGCCACAGGGCTCCACCCAGCCATGAAGGGGCTAGAAGCACAACCTGCCGGGCTGAATGGAAGGGACATTCCATTCGTGTCTATGTTCTATGAACATTTCCTCCTGCTAGAATTTCTTTATAACAGACAATAAACCTGGGGTGGGGTGGGAATGGTCAGGCTTTCTAAGAAACACCCTTCCGTTCCAATAGGAGTCTCCATCCCGCTGTCTAAAGCTACTGCCTGCGCTGCCCCACTCAGGGCTTCCCATTAGACTTCCGTGTTCTTGACAATTCTGAAGGTGGAAAACAGAGCCTTGCCTTAGCTTGGATTAGCGTTTCCTCCATGAGTAGGCTCCTTAGGTCTCTCATACCCCTGCGTCCCATATCAGTTTCTATTTTATAAAATTTTGTCTCGAAAAATATGTTTTACCTTTTTTTCCTATTTTAATAAAAAGTAAGTGTCTATTCTATTTTGTAACAAAATTCTTTTTAAATCACGCATGCCTTTTAGTGAGAACTTGAGTCTACCTAATGAACGAGGCTGAACTTAAGAACGAACTTGAAAGTTGTCAGGGGTCAGCAAATTTTTTTCTGGAAAGGATCAAATGGTGATTTTTTTCCCCCTCATCTTTCTTTTTTGCATTTGTTTTCTTTCTTCTTCTCCCCCTCCTCCTCCCAACCTCTCCTTCACCTCCTCCTCCTCCTCCTTTTCCTTCTCCTTTCTGTCTCTGTAGACCAGGTGGTCTCTGTTTTTATTACTCATTCTGTCAAGATAGCTTAACAGCAGCAGTGGATGATAAGGTAGGACTGCGCTTTTGATACAAATTTACTCTTAGACAGTAAAATGTAAATTTTATATAACTTTTATGCCTCGAGGAATAGGACTGTTGTGATTTTTTTTCCTCAACCCTTTTTAAAAGTAAAAATCATTCTTGACTGAGAGGCTATGGCAACTTTGTGACACCAAAGTTGATCCTAAAGACTAAACAAAAGTGACTAACCGAAGTGAGGCTGAGGGCCTTGGCTAGGTCTTCCAAGCCCCCTCCTCCACTGCCATGCCCAACAAAGGTTTTATTAAGTAAGTCTCCTGAGCACAGATGGCCTAATGGTTCCACAAGGTTCCCTCTGCGCCTGGCTGAAGAGCCTCCTCTGTTTTGCATCCTAGAACAGAGGGTTACGAACACCGGGAAGACAGAGAAACGAGTCCCCAGAGCTGACTGGGGACATGTGCAGTGTATGCATATATTACATTAGCCGTGGGGCTCATCAGTGCCCGGGGTCTGACTGCAAGGCTGTTCTTGATCTTCGTCACTATACTCTATCTTCCCTGAAATGCACTGGAGTCTTCTAACTGGGTGTTGGCTACTATCTCATTGGTCCGGGTAGAAAGCCATACTTAGGCCAAATAAGGCGTTTTCTTAAAGGTGCTATATAGAGATTCAGGTGAGTACCCTGTGGCACCCGCACCTCATCTCAGCAGGTGGAGTTTTCTTCTCTTCTACCCCTGACCAGTTGTGTTTGAGTAGAACACATGCACCCATCTGGCCAACCCAGGTCATAGCAGAACAAATACTTAGCTCCTGATTCTCCCACGGGCTGAACAGAACCTTCTTTCTAGAAACATTCTCAGTGGATTACTTTCAAGGTGAGAAGTACACGGGCAGGTGCCCTGACACAAAGTTTAAATTCCTGCTCTTACTTGTATGAGTGGGAACATTTGTGTCCAGGAAGGACGTTCCCCTTTTACTGGATCCAGAGGAGCCACGGTACCTCTGTTACGGATTTATACAAGCAACAAGGGCCTGGCGCTGAGAGTTACTGATACAGGCAAAAGCTGGTGGAGTTTTTGCAAGCAGGGGCCGGCTCTCCCAAGAGAGTCGCCATTCTGTTGGAAGAATTAAAAGGAGAGGAGAGAGAATGTGTATGACAAACATGGCTTATTATGGAGGGGCTGGGGGTGTAGCTCCAAGACAGAGTGCTCACCTAGCATGTGCAAGGCTCTGGCTTCAATCCCCAGCAACACACACACACACACACACACACACACACACACACACACACACA